CCAATTAAACGTAATCTCTGAGACGCGCTGACCTATTGCAGCCATCGCGATTAGCGGGTTCAGAACGGCCTACACCCGGTCCCATGCGTTAGATGGCTTGACAGACCATGTGCGTCAAGCAGTCGTCAATGTGTTAATAAGGACTAGTTTCGAAAGTAAAACAATTCACGGTAACGCATTTTTCATAGATTATGCCAGATATACCACAGGGACCAATTTTCGCTATCCGCCGAAAATCTGATAAGACTATGTGAAGAACTCTACAAAAGCGCAGAAATTTGTGTACTTAATTCAGCATGCATGAAAACTCAGTTTTTTCGTTTTTTTTCAGACGGCCTCTTTCACACTGGCGCCATATGCTGCAAGTTCCTACCATGCCTCTAAAGAAAGATGTAATAAAGAAAGATTCAAATTGCTTTATACTATGAACCTATTTAGAAACAGCTCTAAAAACGCTTCTCGAAAGACTTTATTACAAGAGATTTATTGACAATCAAACAGTAGGCTATCTTAATTACGGTATATGGTGTTAAGCTTTCAAGATTGGTAGTTCCTTCCTTTATTGTCAGTAATCAGTACTGTCTACGTTTCGGCGGAGATCGCCTTTTTCAAGACCTGGAAGTGAGTCAACGTGTACAGTAATTCACTCCAAGGTGTAGAAGCGTCCACCACTCTGACAACGTGTCAGACCACTACTCGCCGTTTAGTGTGATGCAACGAACTTTCCTTGTATGGTCAGACTCGAATCCACATATTTGTAAGAGCGAGTTCATTGTTGACGGCCACACTTTCTCTTTCCTGTTTAATTTAGAACATCTGCATGATAGCCAACAAGCCTTTATGGCTTTTCGTACGGCGATATTCGTTTCTTTGGAAAAAGCAGATATGCTGATTCCAAACGCCATGTCCTGGTGGGAAAGTTTTCGATGCGCGCCCAAAAACGTAGTCACTTGTGATTTTCGCATTCCATCTAAAATGTTCGTTTATTCTAAGGCACAACGGTCTTCCTGTTTCTCCAATATATTCTTCACCACACATTTTACAAGTTATAAGATACCCAGTGCCTCGGCACATGCAGTCTCCCGGCTTATTGGAATTGCATACAATGTAGTCCGTCTTCACACACGCTAGATCATGACTTCTATTACGTGCCAGGAGCTGATTTAGGTTTGGAGGCGGGATTTCGACAAGTCTCAGCGATTTTTGCAGGCCGGATTTATAATAGGTTGTCCTGGACGTTCGCACCATTTTCAAAAAATCATTGTTTGCATCATAACGATTTTGCGCAATCTAAATTTTATTAGAAAACGTGGAGCATGTAGTTTCCAATAGTCCCCTGTTAACTTTTCAGCATGTTCAGATTGCAGAGATAAAAATGAAAAACGAGAACATCCTAAATTCGGAATTTTTGAGCAAAAATTCTAAAAATCTAGAAACTGCGCGATAAAATTCAAAAAAGTCATTATCGGTCATTATCATAATTCTTCTTATTTGATTACTAACCGAGTTATTGTGCTGATCGAGCTCTTCTTTCAAAAGTTATGATTTTTTGAAAAAAATGCCGAAAAGTCAATTTCTCAGGAATTCTTGGGAAAGTGATTTTAGGAATTTTTTTTTCAAAAAATCATAACTTTTGAAAGAAGAGCTCGATCAGCACACACTTAATTCAATTAGTAATCAAATGTAAGGAAATCATGATAATGGCTTTTCTGGATTTTATCGCGCAGTTTCTAGATTTTTAGAATTTTTGCTCAAAAATTCCGAATTTCGGATGTTCTCGTTCTTTCAATTTTATATATGCAATCTGAACATGATGAAAAGTTACCAGGAAACTGTTGGAAACTACATGCGCTACGCTTTCTAATAAAATTTAAATTGCGCAAAATCGTTATGATGCAAAGAAGTATGGTTTTTTGAAAATGGTGCGAACGAACTTTCGGGACAACCTAATATATGCAACACCACGGTAATATGTGTGGTGAAGAATGTATTAGAGAAACAGGAAGACCGTTGTGCCTTAGAATAAACGAATATTTAGATGGAATGCGAAAATCGCGAGTGACTACGTTTTCGAGAGCGCATCGAAAACTTTTCCACCAGGACATGGCGTTTGAAATCAGCATACTGCTCTTTCCAAAGAAACGAAAATCGCCGCACGAAAAGCCATAAAGGCTTGTTGGCTATCATGCAGATGTCCTAAACTAAACAGGAAAGGAGAAAGGGTGGCCTTCAACAATGGACTCGCCCCTTCCCTACAAATGTGTGGATTCGAGTCTGACCATACAAGGAAAGTTCGTTCCATCACACTAAACGACGAGTAGTGGTCTGACACGTTGTCAGAGTGGTGGACGCACCCTATACAGTATTGTTGAAGGTTTGTCTACACCTTGGAGTGAATTACTGCACACGTTGACTCACTTGCAGGTCTTGAAAAAGGCGATCTCCGTCGAAACGTAGACCGTACTGATTGTTGACTGTTACTGACAATAAAGGAATGAACTGCCAATCTTGAAAAGCTTAACGTCATATACCGTAATTGACACTATGCCAAGATCCACAAATAGTCGTACGTGGATTAGTAAGCTATCTTATTTATTGGCAATCAAACAGTAGGCTATCTTTTTGGGACACCCTATATGCCACTTAGTAGCTTAATCCTCTTAGGTATAGTGAAGGTGATTCAAGCCTTATTAGCTTTCATTTGTCTTAGTAGCAGTGCTCACAGCAAGCCACGGATAATGCAGTTTCGGCTGAGGTGGCTCAAGTACTCAATTCTTTCGAACTCAGAATACCTTAAAAACTTCTGCAAGGGGTTTGTTTGATATGCTGATTATGAAGGACCCCGTAAAGATACTAAATTATCACCGTATAGATATACAGTGATGAATCAGTGTCATCTGACAAATGCTAACGATTATGGCGATAGGGATAGCGTCAGCGCAGCAAAAGCAAGCAGCCGTCACAATAGACATTTTCTTCTGCAATGTATAGTAAGATAAGATTCGTTAAATTTAGATATATGTAAAGGACAAACATGTTTTGTTTAGAATCTTCTGCTCAAAATGCTCAACTAGGTCTGATTTCATATCATGAAATAATCTTTGGCAACGCACATCTTTTTTACAGTCGGGTAGATTTTCCGCTTAATATAGTGTGCTTGCACTGTAGAAGAAATGCGATAAAATTTGTGCGTAAGGAATTAGCCACGCCAGTAATGCCGGCATTCTGCGCGCGCAATTGGCCGGCGTAACAGGCGTAGGTATGTTCACGTGCGAATTTTACCGCATTTCACCTAAAGTGCAAGCACACTATATTAAGCGGAAAATCTACTCGACTGTACCTAGCTTTGAGGAATTGCAAAAAACTCCCCGGCTCTTGTCTCATATAAACGTTTTCATTTGATGAAAAGTGAACCAAATTTGTGGGTCAAGACAGGTGAAAGGGCCGGGCATACTTCACACGATTTCAGTCGCGACCGGACTTGGCAGCTCGCCGGAAGTCTTCAGATCCAATACAAGCAAACTGCACATGCATAGTGTGTATAGCGGACGTGGTTTGATGAGATACCCTAATTCATGTACATTTGAAATGTGCATACTGTGAGTTATGTACAGTTGGAAAACTGTCAAGTCGCGTCGCAACTGAAATCGTGTGAAATATGCCCGCACTTGACGCAAAGATCTTAACAGCTTTTTTCACTTCAACCCCACTCTTACTCTAACCCACAGAGGCCAGTCAATGGTGCTGCTGCAATCAACAGTATTTGGGTTTTGGAAAGTACCAGCAAGAAAACTTGCGGAGTTGATTGCGGTTTGGCATGATATGACTTTATTGACTACTAACTGGTACACTCGGCTCTGCCCCGGCTCCGTCTGTACACCATAATAAAGCTCCCGTCCCTATTCCTAACATTTGCCTGTCCCGGTTCACTTACATGCCATTTTTCCTATCCCCACCATGTTTTCCCAATCAGCATGCTCACCTTCCTGTGTCAACTCCCAGCCCCGTAGTTTGCAGAAATTCGAAAAAAAAAACGATAGAGGTAATCGATAATTTCGAAAAAATAATTTTGTGTTTGTCTTTGGGCTTCGTGAGGAAAGATTTGGAGGTGACTGTTAGGTTGAGCTACGAGTTTGTGCACATTTCGTCCCAAAGTGCGTTTATACTAAAGTTCATCCCATGGTTTACATAATCACCTTAACTCGATACACACACTGCAGGTACAAACATACAGACAGACACTTGGATTCATGTACAGGGTGTCCCAAAAAAATGTGCCTACTGTTTGATTGTAAATAACTCTCTTGTAATGAAATGTTTCGAGATGCTTTAGGTACCGTTTCTTAGAGCGAGCTTGAACTTAGATTTGCTGTATGGACTGAATCATCGATCGCTCGTCATTACTGTAGGATTACGGTAAGAACTTCCAGCATACGCAACCATTGTGAAATATACCACCTAACAAAATTTTTTTCAAAAAATCTGAAAAATTGTGTATTAGGGTTTTCGCGCATGCCAATTCCACCTAACAACTTTTTATGAGTGTTTTCAGCTTTTTCGACGGTGTAATTACATTTCTGACAAATGCTGGGAATTTAATTATTACGATTTACCGGGGATAACATAGGAAAGAAGCATCACAGCAAAACGGAAATTTCAAATTCGAAATCAGCGGCTCCCATTACCGTAGTGTAAGAGTTTTTGGCTTGTTTGGTTTCGTTCCGAGGCAGAGTATAGCCTCTAAAGGCCTAAAATCCTTGTCGAAGTTCCTACCGTAATCCTACAGTAACGAAGAGTGATAGATGATTCGCTACATATGTATATCTAAGTTTAACCTCGCTCTACAGAATGGTACCTAAAGCTTCTCGAAACACTTCATTACAAGAAAGTTATTAACAATCAAACAGTAGGCACATTTTTTTGGGACACCCTGTATATGATCACAGTAATCCTGTCGCAGCATCATTCCTAGATGGATGAAGTGATTGACCCAAACATACCGTATAGTCTTGCTTCAAGGTTTCTTCAATTTTGATGGCTGCATGTGGCAGGTCTTTTTCTGTAACATACTTTTAGATTATAAATTGAACAATTTTAGCTTCATTCCAGAAAACATGCCACTTACTACTTCCAAGATGTTCTGATACACATCGATGCTCCATTTGGCTTGTATGGCTGGTCTTTTCCCAAATAGACTAAGAAGATTTTGAGTAGAACAAATAAGCTTTTTGATATATTAGGTTGTCAAGAAAATAATGTTTGCTTGCTTGGCACCGCAACCGGACGGATCCCAAGATCGCAGTAGGAGCATTGTTCAATAGAGCAAAGCAAACTCTACAAACTGGTGTTGATGCTTCGCCAAGGTTTTTCCATGTAAAGTTGAAAATCAAAATCCAAAAAGTTTCAATCAAAAGAAAACAAAAGAATTTCGTCTAGAAAATTTCTACAGAACCCTCAATCGCATACATCTAAACTATTGACATAGACATTCATACATACAGTTGATTTTTTCTTAAGTAGAAAATGAGAAAATTTTCGCTGTTTTTCTCAAAACAATGGTTGGCCGTTCTAGCATGTGCATTTCTATTCTATAATACAAGCCTTTATAAGTTTACCTGTAGATTTTTGACCTTTTTCGAGTATTAGTTTTCAAAAATTTTTGACTAGCAAAATTACTAAAAAAGAGAAAAGCTATTGATACTTTTCGAGAACTTGCTCTCGAAAAAGCTTGAAAATTTGCAGTTATACTCTTAAAAGGCTTGTACACTACTCAAGTCAGAACAGTCCAGCACTGCTTTAAGAAAAACGTGAAAATTGTCGATTTCTCAGTTTCTACGCAAGCAGACATCAACTGTATTCATGGATGTCTGACATCGATAGTGTCGATGTGTGCGAATGGGAGTTCGGTAGAAAGTTTCTGGATTCAAAGAGATCCAATTTTTGCCGATTTTCTTGGCATCTGAAACTTATTAGTTTTTGATTTCTTCAACTTCACATGAACAAGCTTTGCTCTATAAAACAGTATCCCTCATGTGTTCTTGGGTTCGTCTGATTTGGTATCAGAGCATGCAAATAGAAAGCGACGTTATTTTCTTAACACTAATAGTTGTAGAGTACTACAATATAATGAAGAAGATAGAAGCATTCTTTGAGTTCATCTAAGCAGCCCTCACTCCGAGCAAAAAGATGAGAAAGCAATTTTACAGAAGCAAGTTTACAGAAGAAAGCTGCGCATACTTATCGCATCATCATCATTTTATCGATGAAATTAGCGCTACCTTTATTATTTTCGCTTTTATCTTAGTCGTAAACTATGGCCCGTAGTAAACCCCCATTAGGGCAGCTCCCTTGAGGCGGACAGCAGCTAATTTCATCGCGCCTCAGTCTAGCATCCGGTGGGCTATTGATCTGGATGCGGATGGCTTCCTAGACATTGTAATCAAGTGTGTTCTTAAGAAATAACCACTCGAGTCGGTTTAGACAAAAGGGTAAGCGACTGGACTTGCCCGCGCGGGCCGTGGTTCGACTCCGTTTAGCGATACCACTTTTGCTGCATAGCCGGGCAATCTTTGATAGCGGCCGCTATCGCAATCGATGATGACGCGATCAAGGATTTCGCCTAGCAAATGCACGGATAAAACAAAAACACATTTTGTGAAGAAAATTACACGACAAAACGAAATGGTTGCAGCGCGAATCTAATGAAGTGAGCAAATGAGTTTTCGTTCTGGACAGCTTTAAGAAAAATCACTAAAGTTTCATTAAAAAGAGAAGAATTTGCTTTTTTGTCTTCCTCGCGAAAATCAGCTGTCCACAGATCCTCTCCTTTTCGGGCGCGGTTGTGCAGTTTTGCGCCGATTTTGTCTGCAGTGTTAGGCAAAGTGATGCGTATCGTATGTTACTTAGGAGCAACTCGGGAGTCTTGTCTGCTCTCCTCTTTTACACACTATTTGCCTTCGTCTAACTCATTTCACGTTCAGTTGAACTGAACGTGAACTGATTGCAAGAGTTGACTGCAGCAGGTGGACGGATGGTCAACTACCAGTTAACATCAGTTCACCTTCAATTCAACTAAACGTGAACTGATGTGCAAGAGTTGACTGCAGCAGGTGAACGGATGGTCAACCACCAGTCCACTCGCCATGCATAAAGGGAAGGTGGGCGGTCATCAGTTCACCTCACCTAAGCTTGACTGATGGGTTGAGTTTAATTCACCTGAACTGATCGAGCTTTACTATGGGCCTATATGTTGCCGCTTAAACTTTATAGCATCTTAGCGCTCGATACAGGGTCTTTCTTGTGCAAGACTCCGCACAAATGGCTTATAAGCAAGCTGGATAGTAGAGTTATTGTTTCTGGGACAGAAAGCAAAAAGGATGTCGTTTTTGCGAGTCCGAGATTAAGTTTTAGTCTGCGTTTCGTTTTTTAGTCATTTCGATCATTTCGGATTACAGTCAAAGGGACTTCGTAACTTTGCAAAAGTCAGGGGGACTTCGTTGGTGTTCGTAATTGGTTATTGATGCTTCGCGCATATGATTTTCTTTCGACAGACTTCTGTACTTTTGAAGTTGAGCGTTGGCGAAAATTGCCTCGAGGCGTTGTGAAGCCATAATGTGATTAAAAATCCAATATTTTTTAAAACTGCTTCATGCGTGTAGAAGAGCTTTGTGCGCAGTTTTAGATGATATAAACAATGCTGCTATACAAACTTCGCAATTCGTATTATTCTTCTCTGTCCCAAACTGCAAGGATTATTTGCATCTGCTCGTGTGGTTGAGTAAATCTTTGCCATGTGCAGCAAAGATGAATTTAGTAGCTTGCACTGTTTTTCCTATTGTAGGGATGTGCAGATGTTAGATAGGATTTCCACCATTTTTTTAATGTATCTGTGAATTTATGCACATTGTGCGCAGACGATTTGGTTTCATGCATATGTATAAGTAGTAGCGTTGCACCGTTAGAGCCAGTGCTTGTACAACTTCCGCCACTTACGTCTACATTAGATCATAGTCATTTACTTTGTCTTCCCTCAATTCATTACACTTTGTATAGATTTCATTTATTCATATATTATTTTGCTACTTGTTTGATCGAGTTTCCTGTTGCTTGTTTGTTGCCAAAATAAAGTTAATTACCCAAGTTTGAGGTTGCTTGCTCCTGTGTAAAAAGAAGTCCCACGTGGCAGTATTTTTTGGTTTTCAACAAGTGGTATTAGAGATTATATGCATATATATCGTCTCTTTAATACAACTGCTGTGTATTGCATGAGCGTTGACCGCAACCAGCAGTACTATCGCAACCCAAAATTGTGGTTGATTTCTCGTGGTTGAAGTTTTAACGTACAGAGACTATTCAAAATGACGTTTCGGCAAACTTGCCTTCTTCTGATTCGAAAAGTCGAAATCGCATAAAGTGGACTTCCCGATATAACACCTTGTCGATTATAGAACCCCCCCCCCCCTTCTTAGAAAAACATCAGTATCCAACAAAGCGCACGACTGTGCTAGTGCTCACCCTAAAAGACGATAGATCTTATGAGTTGCAGAGCAGGATCAGTACTGCATTAATTTATACATATGTACCAATCTTAGACCCCGCCAAAGCAATCAATTAGAAGTTCAACTAAGATTCATGGATAGCCCAACTTGGATTCAAGCATATTGATATTGCAGCATAAGACGGCACAATGTAAGCGTCTGTTCGCAGCACATTGCACCGCCAGTATCGTCCCTGCGGACCATATAGAAGCAGAAGTTCAATGCTCTATGAAATTCAGTTGCATTGTTTGCCATGATAGGTTAACATACATATAAGTTGGTAAATAATGCTACAATTGAGTTATGAATCATACCTTTAAATACCGAAAACTGCCATTGCACAAATCTGATCGGCAAAAACAGATTGCCCTATGATCCTTGGAGTAGCACTCTTTTAAATGCTGTAAAAACTTTGTATTAGTAGCTCTGTTCATCGCTTACAGAGATTTCAGCGCAAAGCGACCTGTAAACGAAGCGGAACCACTCGAAAATTTAGCGAATTTCTGATGGTATTGACTGCGAAAAGGCATGGCTGCTTGGTCTCATATGCACACATTTGATTCTGAAACGGGAAGCCCATATAATCACTATGACCGATTGGTAAGAAGCAGCCAACTCTTACTTTTGTAATCTCTTGCTTGCGGAGCCCCTCTAATCCAGCGTCTTCAAAACCGACATAGCATCGCACTTTTTGCGGCTCTTCGGCCTCTCCAGAAGATAATCTTTTTGCAACAACTTTGATTTGTTTTGGCGCACCTCTGCCTACTCGTAATGAACCCTGAATTCTTAAATTGAGATTGACATTGAGCAGAGCCTCATAACAGACTGTAAAAATGTATCTGTATCATATGCTCCAACAGCCTAAACTTCGTCAACTCATTCAACTACTCATTTTTAAAACTTTTTAATATAAGATCGGTAATTTTCCGTGAATGAAACTTGCCCCAGAGGAACAAATGCAAAGTTAAATAGCTTTTTGGACTTTTCATGGCTTGATAGTCGCCTTGAGGACAGTGATCACCGTGGGCCACATCTCTGTGCGAAAATTTTCACAAATAATCAGCTAAATTCTTGGCTAAATTCTTCTAAATTAAAGTTTACGCAATCAATTCTTTTTGGCGCCACCTTCGTAAAGTAGTAAACTTTTACTCACTCTTTTTTGGCCTAAAGTCCATGGCTTGCACATTAGCTTGTCAAACGTACTCATAATTTTGCAAAAAGTGCTGATTCATGCTCAGTCTTGCTTGAAATAAGCCAGGTGGATCCGTTTGGCGCGCAATTTTTGAGGATCCAATCAACGGATCGCTCGTGCTTTGCATAGTGGACTTTCATGCTGGTAGCATACGCCGTGCAAAATTTGGGCTCAGGAAATTGGCTTAAACACGCTCTACGAATTTCGTAACGGACAGACACCCACATACACACAGACAAAAAGACGTAAACAACCCTTAGCCCGTTATTATAAGTCACGATAATAAGCCGCTTATTTGTCGGTCTGTAAGTCTGTCTGTTACGAAATTACAGTGAGGAATGATTTACAATACCAAACAGCATGTGAGGTTAGGATAGGAGTATGGTTCATTTTTAACTACGGCTCTCACGTTGCAGTCAACCGAACAGTGATTTGAGAGGCAAGCTCTCAGAAAGTGAGTTTAACACGGTTCATGGCCAGTGCGAACCTCTGCGAAGCAGAGGTGAAGCACTGGTATATACATAAAACTCAAAGTTTGTGCAACTCTTGACCGTATGTTTTTTATATACTTCTTTGCGCGTGAACCGATTAAGCTGAAATTTTGCACATATATGTTTTCGACCCCGTATATGGTTTTAGGCTACTTTTTGTAGCGATTCGCTGGATCCTTCTATTGATTTATTGATTTCGGCACTTTGCAATGAAAGTGAAGTCTTATCAACCACTATCATACCCCATGCATTTTAGTGTAAACTATGGCAGACAAGCTCATTCTCATTTCGCGGATGCGGAATGAGAATGAGCTCATTCTCATCAGAAGGATGCGGTACTTCCAGATGGCCTTGCTTTGAGGTAGGCATTTGCAATTACAACGCACCGTGCAGGTGGATATAAGCTGCGGGACCGGAGAAGGAAAGGGGAGAGGGAAGCAGAAATGCACCAGTCGGAAGCGGGAACAGGGCTCGGCACAGCTGGCACCGGGTCAAGCTGGATATCGTTTTTTGGACGAAAGCAAAAGGGATATCGTTTTTCCGGGGTGGGGCGGAGAAGAGCCGCGAGAATGCCGCTGGCATGCCACCGGCATGCTGTCCATCAAACAAACAAAGAGTTTGTTTTCAGCCAAAACGCATATGACACCAAATTTGATGTGTGCATGTGCGTTAAGGGACCCGAAGTATGGCCCAAAAATTCATGAAAACTATTTGAATAAAAGCCTGTGCTGAACTTTTTTCTGAATTAGCTGGCACCGTGCCAGCTGGGTGCCAGCTGAGCTGGCACCGACGCTTTGCTCACTTAAGTTTCATACTTTTTTTACATAAAATGTATCTACACCGCAAAAGTTTACATACAAAAAGAAGAAATAGTTTCATAATGTTATCTTTTCAGCTTTCATAGCCATTTGAAAATTACTCGTTCTTCTCCGCAATGGAAAAGTCGGATTTTTCTGCTTCTTGATTCAACCACTTGAAAAGCTCAAAAAGCTGTGAAAAGTTGTTTCATGTAATCAGCATGCATGAAAACCCTACTACTTACCTTTACATAATTTAAAATCAATGACGGGTCTTCAAAATAGATCAAGGGGACTTCGTACGAAATTTCCAAGATCAAACGGGACTGGACTTCGTTTTTAAATTTTCCTGGTGCCAGCTCGTGCCAAGCCCTGGGTATGAAAGATGAAAAGGCGTAGGTTTTGAAGCAGAACACATATTTTATGCGCTCCACCTCCTTCCTCTGGCTCTATGGCTCATGAACCGGGTAAAACCAAGTATGCCAGCTAGTCAACTTATAATTGTTAAAAATAAACGACCAAAAAGACCGTTTTTGTGATTGTAAATGAAAGGAATTCCCGAAGCTGGGCTTTAGAACGTGGTATGATGTTGTGAATTTATACATCATTACGTAATTTTCGGGTGACTCGACGCTAATCAAAAAACCTGATACCTACGCGCTTATGTGCTTGGTGAACTGGAGATAATGGATACACAAAACAGTTTTGCAAGTCGTTTGCGCCGCTGGGCTCTATCAAGTGCTGCTTTCAAAAGTTTGACAGTAATCGCAAAACTTTTGACGCCACCTTCAACCCATACAAGCGCTAAAAGAGCTCGTAAACTTCAAATTTTTAAGATTGTCTATCTCTATATGCAGGACATCCCAAAGGATGTATATAACATTTGAATTCCCTAACTTTTATATAAAAACTTTGCACTTCTTCAAGCAGCATATCGCAGAGCTTCATCTCTATGATGACGGTAGGAACTTTTATACAGCGTCATTGTAATAGCCTCCTTTCCGAAAAATTTCTAGAAGTCCGGCAAGTTTTCCACCAGGGTTTTCACGCACGCTGATTTTATCGTTTGACTTTTTGTATGCTTCTTGGATTTTTTCAATGGTGTGTCGCACTTTAGAGAAGGCAGCTGTTACGTATACTCGGCGTAACTTATGAAAGAAGCGGCATCCAAGTACACCAAATTTTTTGAAGTCAACAACTTCAGTTAGCTTAAAATAAAGTTGTATGGTAGTTCAGTTCAGGTTGTATGGTTTACTGAGGCGTAGAGCCGCCTATAGCCAGACACATACTTTAAAGTTGTGCCGTAATCCTAACAGAAAAGCTTTGGTGACTGCTCCGTTTTGTGTCAAAGTTGAAGCCAGCACTTCCATGTTTTAAGTGGCAAAGATGCTTCAAACAAAGAGCTATGGAGGAAGAAGCGTTTGATGCATTTTTGATTGAGTCATCCTGTATTAAAACTCGAACAGAGCATGGGCACGTAAGCTTGCTGACATCAGCAACAGACCAAGGCAAGCAGATAAGGGCTTTTTTCTTAACAGGTCGAGAATCCTGAAAGTAGCCTACATGGTCTTTGTGTAAGTGACATATTTTTTATTTGCGAAAAATACTTTCGAAATTTCTTCCAAATGACCGTTTTACGCTTCGAAGTCGTGTAAACTTTGAAAAAAGCTGTAAGAAAGCTCATTTTCATCCTGCTGTGTGATGATGCTGCATCTCGAAAACAAGTTTGTGCTACGGTGTTTTTCAAATGGTGGATCGTTTGAAAAATATGAGGTGAGAAAGAAGCAAGGGGAAAGATTGATTATGGGGGAGGGGGGGGGGGGAAGGAGGGTGGGGGGGGGGGGGAGAAAATGAAAAAAGCCTCTGAGACGACGTCTTATTCCGCCCTCTGATCCTTTCTTTTCGCATCAGCTGTGACATCCGTGTGGAGTTTTCACGTCGCCTACTAAGTGTGAATAAAACTCAAAGTAGCAATTTGAAAAAAAAGGTTTGTAATTTCTCTAGAATGTTTTGCGAGAAAAAGGCAGCATTCTGTTTAGTAGAAGAAAAGATACTTCATCTCTTCTTCTTTTAGTTTTGATGTCAGTTTCCAGCCTCTTTATCAATTTGCCGCCACTTTCACAAGGGTCGGAGAGTAAAAAAGCAGTGGTTAAAACCGTGCACCGGTTTTAACCACTGCTTTTTGCCGTCAGTGTACCCCTGTGCCGTCAGTGTACCCCTGTGCCGTCAGTGTACCCCTGTGCCGTCAGTGTACCCCTGTGCCGTCAGTGTACCCCTGTGCCGTCAGTGTACCCCTGTGCCGTCAGTGTACCCCTGTGCCGTCAGTGTACCCCTGTGCCGTCAGTGTACCCCTGTGCCGTCGCCAAGAACGGTTGTTTTTGATAGTCGCTCTGCCTAGTATCTCGATTTTACATTTCTTTCATCTCCTTTCGTGTCTTCCTAATTTCTAGGTGTTCTCTTCATTACTTTAGTTGTCACTTCCTATTGTGTCTATCTCTTTCGTCTTAAACTTTTGGATTCTTGGCCAGTCTAGTGGCATATCCAAATTTCGCTCATCTTATCCAGGTCATCGATTGAAAAAATCAATATCGGTGAACCCCTGTGCCGTCGCCAAAAACAATTGTTTTTGATACTTGCTCTTCCTACTTCGATATTGTTTTCTTTTTTCCCTTTCTGTGTTCTCCTATTTTCTGGTTGCTCTCTTCAGTTCTCTAGCTGTCACTTCCTACTTCGGCTACCTCTTTCAACTTAGACTTTTAAATTCTTTCGACAAATTAGTGTCATATCCATTTTTTTGCTTATCTTATCAAGGTTATCGATTGGAAAAAATCAATAATGCCTTCCCGCGCAAATAAGCCTTGCTCCCAATCGACTTCTGATCGCGTCCTTAGGAAAAGGAATGTGAATGTGACAGCGCCAAATAGTCAGACAGAAGCGGGCTCAGACCCGTATATTGACTATGACAATCTCTCTATGGGTGAGATTATCCAGACTATTCTGGATAAAAATACTGACCCTACCATAGAGAGACTTGTCTTGGCTTTGCAAAAGAAATTACCCAAGGACGCAGAAACAGAGAAACGCGAGAGGAGCGTCGTAATTGCGGGTCTTGCCGAAGCTTCATCTGAGCTGACAGTGCTTGAGCGTAAGAAGCATTTAGATGAGAGCGTAGCGCAAATATTGGAAACGTTGCATATAGATGCTTGGCCCTCGGAGATATTCCGAATGGGCAAAAGGGTTGAGGGGAAGCCACGCTTGGTCAAAATAGTATTCCCCTCGCGCTACTACTGGAGACAAGCTCTATCAAATGCTTACTTATTGCGGCACTCGTCTCTTTCTCATGTTTTTCTACGCAGAAGTATGACTCAAGCAGAGAGGGAGCGGGACTTAGAGCTACGGAGGGAAGCTAGCGAGAGAAATAGAGGAAAGGCAATACGAGAGTGGGTTGTATACCGCGGGGAAATTAAGCATATCTCTGAACTGCCCAAAAGGCCTGTTCAGGGAAACGCCTAACTCAGCGTGGTTCTAGTGACTTCATATCATGTTTTTTGTTCAACTCTCGAAGCCTTGTAAATAAGTTATACATTCTTCATGCCTTTTTATGTTTCTACCGTCCCGATATCGTTTGCGTCACGGAAACTTGGTTATCCTCTAGAATTTCTGACTCCGAAATTGTGATTGATCTGCCATACTCTATCCATCGATCTGACCGAAAGGGGAAAAAAGGCGGTGGGGTCTGCTGTATAGTCAAAAATGATCTTGCAGTACAACGCCTTTATATTGATCAACATCTAAACTCGGACATACTGTGCATAGACCTCTTTTCAACTGCCTCTCTTTCACCTTTAAGATTCATAACGGTTTATCGACCTCCCTCTGTAACAATGAAAGATGATGAATCTCTCTCAAATACGATTATTGATCTCTGTTCAGTTCCAAACGAAACGATCATTTTGGGGGACTTCAATATTGATGCAATTTCTCCCGGTAGAAACCCACAAGATAAGCATTTCCTTAATCTCTTGCTTAGCTGTCAGCTGGTACAGAATGTGAATGTTCCGACTCATGATAATGCAGCGATTGATCTTGTTTTTTCCACGAGTGATATTGTAAATAACATTCGCATTATGCCACCTTTTGGGTCTTCTGATCATAATGTCGTAGCTTTTCATACGCATTTTTCTATATCCAAAAGTTTCGTCTTGCCATTTCCTAATTTCTACAAAGCAAATTATCTAGAAATGAATAGAGCACTTCTATGTGTAGACTGGATTGATATTTTTCATGGTTTTGCATCAGTTGACGACTTATATTACCGTTTTTGCTCCGTTTTATATAGTATCTTCGCCAAATGTGTACCTTTTACCTCAAAGAAAGCTCCTTTTCAAGTCTATCCCACTCACATTCGCAATTTAATTGAACAAAAATCTCGGCTATTTGCCTCATTACCTAAGCCCATGTGTGATGAATTATATAAGAAAGTTTGCCTCGATCTAAATTATCATCTCAAAAAATTTTTGCGCCATCGAGAAAGTCTTTTGGCTAGACGTTCTAACACAGCATTGCTTCGTTATTTCAAATGTCGTACTCCCAAAAGAGAGACTAGTCTGCCAGTCTTGATTGATGAAGCCGAAAATCAGTATAGAGAGGACCAGGAGAAGGCAGAAGCTCTGGGTAAATTCTTCGCCAAGGTATTCATAAATGCTCAAGGAATCGATCCAGGGTCATCTTCTACGTTCAACCTGTCTGAATCGTGTGGAGAAGTGTCAGTCAACCCTGACATTGTCTTTGGAATACTCAAAAGCTTGAAGTCAGTTGCGACTACTACTTTTGATGGTATTCCTCAAATCGTTTATAGAAACTGTGCCCACACCTTGTGCATTCCTCTTTCGTACATTTTCAATGTCTCACTCTCAGCGGGTGTAGTACCTACTATTTGGAAGGAAGCCTTAGTTACGGCTATTCCTAAAAAAGGATGTAATGGTACCTTGGCGAATTTTCGACCCATTAGTATAATGCCTCCTGCTGGTAAGATCCTCGAAAAGATAATCAGAAGAAAGCTGTTCGAATGGTTCGATGGGCATAATGTTATTCCTCGTGAGCAACACGGATTTCTTCCGGGCTCATCGACAACTACTTTGCTTGTTGACTCTATATTTGACTGGACCACTGCTCTCAACAATGGTCAATCTGTAGATATCATCTATTTTGATTTTTCAAAGGCTTTTGATAAAGTAAATCACAACAAGCTTCTCTTAAAATTGGCAAACTATGGCATAAGAGGTACTCTCCTAGAGTGGCTAGCTTCTTACTTGGAGGATAGGGGCATGACTGTGCGCGTTGGGTGCAAGTATTCTGAGCGATACCGTTGTGGTAGTGGCGTCCCTCAGGGTGGAATTCTATCACCGTTACTTTTCTTGACCTACGTTGCTGAATTACCTGCATACCTGAAAACCCATCCAAGTGTCAAAATACAAATGTTTGCTGACGACATAAAAATTTATTCTTGTTATGACTCCGATCATCAAAGTGAAGCCTTCATGGCACTTTCCTCCTCCATCAGTAAAATGGAAATTTGGTCCAAGGAATGGGACATCCCTCTAAATGCTTCAAAGACTACCGTTATGCACCTTGGGGATTCACCCTGCCGAACCTACTCCTGCGACGGTGTCGGTCTTGAATTCGCAAACCCAATGCGTGATCTTGGTGTCATGATTGACGCCTCCCTTTCATTCAAATCTCATATCGATCTTGTTATCAAAAAGTCTTCAGCAACTCTTTTTACTATTATTCGTGGCATACATAGCAATGATCCTGAGGTTTTTTTGAGGCTCTACAAAAGCTATGTCTTGCCGCATCTCGAATATGCCTCGCCTATTTGGAGTCCATTCACAAAAGGAAACATCGAAAGAGTCGAAAAAATCCAAAAAACGTTCACCAGAATATTATTCTATAGATGTTTTCCCAATCCTAATTACCCACAAGCTCTACCCTCCTATCGGTTACGGTTAAATAAACTGAACCTGCAGAGCCTACTGTATAGACGCGTTCTGAATGATCTGACTTTGTGTTTTCGAATTCTGCGCTTAGAAACAAGACTCAAAGCCAGCAAGTTTTGGATATTCAGACCGTGTAGCGAACGATCAGGTAGGTTTGGTCTTTACTATCGCAAATTGGGAAAAAAACGATTTTTGATGACTTTCAACTCTTTCATTTGTCGAACAACTCGATGGTTTTCGGTCCTACCGGATTACATCGTTTCCAGTGAAAACTCCAAAATATTCAAAAGAAGATTACAAAATATTAATGTGTTACAGCTACTCGATATCTGTGATTTTTAGATGTTATGAGTACGTGCGCCATCCACCATTGTTCCAACCACCCTCCATGCCTCGCCAAGCCGTTACCTAGTCAAGTCTTCCATACCTGGTCACGTCGCCCACTTTGTCGAGTCGCCATACCTCGTCAGGTCTCTTACTCCTCCCCAAGTCGTGGCACCTCGTCAAGTCGCTCAAGTCGCTCATTCTTGGCCAAGTCATATATACCTCGTCAACTCGTCAAGTCGTCAAGTCGTCAAGTCGCCCACACCTCGCAAGCCCTCCATACCTCGTCAAATCTTCAACCCAGTCTACGTAGCAAATGCATTTCACTTCATTTTTTCATAGTCAAAAAACATTGAGTCATTTCTTCCCAGCTATTTATTTTCGTTTGTTCACTGCCACTAACTTAGACACCCTGCTTCACTAACGATCATATTAGCTTGCTTTATATGTCAGGGTACATGATTCTACCTCTTGTCTACCTCTTGTCTACCTCTTACCTCTTGTCTTCCTATTACAGTCACACCTAAGCGCCCAGGTTACTTTCGCTTATGCCTTACTTCTATGCCTTACTGGCAAGCTTTAGCTGGCACTTCAACTTAGAGTCTTGCTATCCTCCAAAAGGTATACTCATCTGGGGTCTGTCAGCTAGTTTCCGCCCGTAAGCTCGCTGGCACTCAAAAAGGGGTTTTCAGAATAATTTTGGAGGATGCAATACTCTCCAGTCATTCTTTGTTTCTCAGGCCATATTTACACTCATCAGGCCATTTGAAACAGATTTCGCTATATCTTAAAGGGCCTTAGGTTAGTGGTTGCTTATACGTCCATCGTTTATCTCCCTGAAGCCATGGACAAGCTGTTATCATGTTATTGTTCGACGTGTTAGAGTTTTATTTTTTGTTGTTCTTTGGTGCACCGTGAGTGTAAACTAAAATAAAAAAAAAATAAAATAAAAAGTGAAAACGTCTACGGCTGCAAGAAGGTCACGAATTTTCCTTTTCGTGGCCTGATATTCAAATTTGCTCCCTTCTTTCGCACTCATCGTGACATTTAATCAGTGTTGAATCGCATCGTCAACTGGTTAACAACGAGAACTGTGCAGTAGTGATGAACAGAATGTTACCTACCGTTCGAAGTTCTTCTGCGACGGATGACGCTTTGTTTGAGAGAGGCAAATCTTCTTCTAAAATCGGTGTATATGACTAATAAAGACTTGTCTCTATAGAACCTCTTTTTTGAACGTGATGGGACTAATCAGGATTGCCGCACATTAACTACTCAATTTTTGTGTCCATCGGTCTCGCAACTATGGCATTAATCCCGATAGAATCAAAACTGATGCTGAGAGATAACAGCAGCTAGTGCTGTAGTGTTTTGAAAAAAGAAATATGATCAGACACAAAGCAGAGTCTGTTTTACGAGCAAATATGGTAGACAGCTCCCAGACCAAGTGATCCATGTTTGTGCACTAGTCCTAATCAGTACCTCTACATAATCCAAATAATAAACTATTCCGCTTTTGGCAAAATTCAAACTCCAACATTTCTTGCTACTCGTGGCATCTCTTTTTGAAAAAAAATTTGGAGCAAACATAATTTCTGCTTTAAAGCGTGAATATTGAGATCAATAAATATCTTACTTTGCTTTAGATGCTTTATGACACAATCATACTCTGCTCTTATAGGATGATACGTCCTCTTCCATTTTTCCTGCAAGAGATGTAGAGTTGTACTTCTGGACAGAAGAGATGTAAAGAATGTGTGTATAGATTTGCATAGAGGCCATACAGCATAATTTTTTATTTCGTGGTGAAATGAGGGTGGAATTTTGCATAAGTGGATTCGCTGAGTGGGTCCCCCGAAAAGTGCGCGTTAAACGGATCCTCTTGACTTCTGGCCAGTAAATTTGAGCCTGTACCACCATTTTTACAAAGTCATGCATATGTTTGACAAGCTAGGTGAAAGCCACAGATTTTAGCCCATAAAATTGGACTGAAGTTAATTACAATACCGCTCACAAAATGTGCAAAATTTCCGTGAACGCAGAATTTCAGGAATTCCGCGAAGGTTCGCGAAGTTTCGGGAATTTTGCGAAATTCCTTCCGGAAATTTCGCGAAATTCATGTGAATCCGCAAATTACGCAGGGCCATAACTTCTTTCCGAGTGAGTGTATTCGAAATCCGAAAGCAGCATTGTATTCAGCTCGTCAAGGCGAATCTTTTGGTCTACAGGTTGTGTCCAATACCTTGTTTTCAATAATCTTGAATTTGCACGCGGACGCCTCTTCGCATGGTGGTAACGCAACGAACATCACACATAGGAGACTGCCGTGGGCATCAACCGATATTATTCTTTCACTAGATTATCGTGCGCTAAACAGCAGCCGAAGACTCTCTTCCAAAAGAGATAAAAGAGCTGATAAATCTGGAAAAATCAAGCCGTTCCAAGTTCTACTAGCCGTAACTTCCTTCAGAATGAACATTTTCAAAATCCGAGAGCAGCATTGTGTTCATCTCATCAAGTCGAATCTTACTATGTACAGCATGCCCTTGAAATTCCGTTTCCAATTTTTTTTAAATTTTCTGCGCGCGTATATTCACAAGGTCGCAACGCAGCGCACATCAAATATAAAAGACTACAGTAAGCATTGTTGGATTGTTGCTTTCGCAGATTATAGCGCGCTAAAAAGCAACCGGAGAATCTTCTTAAGAAAAGATAGAAGAGCTGGTGAATTCTGGAAAAATCGCGTTGTCTCAAATTTTGCCTACCTTGAATCTAAAATGAGAAGCTCTACTGCTAAGCAGATGGCAAGTTTTCAAAGAAATTCGGGTGATTTGATTTTTTCTCGTTCTTCGCCCTGAAGCTCGCCGATGGGTTTTGGTCAAAATGTCGATAATCTCGGATTGTAAGGAAACTTCGCTCAAAGAAGTTTTTGAACACGCTGTTTACGATAATCGTCTCTTGCGCGAAGTATAGAGTTTTCCAGAGTTTAGCAGAGATATGGTGAGGGAACTTTAGCTAAGCCACGAAAGTTCGTAAATTCGCCTGCATTTTTCGAGCACCTCTTAGAAAATCTGCTTGCTTGCCTCTGCAGGTTACATTCACTAGAAAGCGTGCTAATTAATGGTGCATGCATCTGGCTTCAATCTGTAGCAATCGCCGAGTTAGGGGCCTACGAAATCACGTCCTCATGAGTTTTGCTCAAAATGTAAAGATCGCCTGCTTCGTAGAAATTCCACCTAAGTGACTATAAGACACTGTAGTCACCAATTTTGTGTTCACTTCGCTTAAGGAATCTATCCTGCTGTACTGGAAGTAATTAAACAGATCTGAGCTCTGGCCAAAAATCTGCCTTGATATTCACCTAAGGGCTCAGGCACACACAACCACCAGATCCAGTACAATAAGCTCAAGGATCTTTCGAGTTGAACATAAAATCAGCGACCACAGGTCTTACAGTCACTTGGGTAGAATTTCTACGAAGCAGGCGATCTTTACATTTTGGGCAAAACTCATGAGGACGTAATTTCGTAAGCCCCTAACTCGGGATTGCTACAGATTGAAGCCGGATGCATGCACCGTTAAATAGCACGCTTTCTAGTGATAACCTGAAGTGGCAAGCAAGCAGATTTTCTAAGAGGTGCTCGAAAAATGGAGGCGAATCTACGAACTTTCGTGGCTTAACTAAAGTTCCCTCACCATATCTCTGCTGGAATACTCTATACTCCGCGCAAAAGACGATTATCGTAAACAGCGTGTTCAAAAACTTCTTTGAGCGAAGTTTCCTTACAATCCGAGATTATCGACATTTTGACCAAAACCCATCGGCGAGCTTTGCGTAGAACGAGAAAAAATCAAATCACCCGAATTTCTTTGAAAACTTGCTCATAGAGGTTATCTGACCTGCTGATTGCGAAAATCACATCTGCTTAGCAGTAGAGCTTCTCATTTTAGGGTGACGGTGGGCAAAATTTGAGACAACGCGATTTTTCCAGAATTTACCAGAATTCACCAATTCACCAATTCACCACCTTCTATCTCTTTTCAAGAAGATTCTCCGGTTGCTTTTTAGCGCGCTATAATCTGCAAAAGCAACAATCCAACAATGCTTACTGTAGTCTTTTATAATTGATGTGCGCTGTGTTGCGACCTTGTGAAAATACGCGCGCAGAAAATTTTTAAAAAAATTGGAAACGGAATTCAAGGGCATGCTGTACATAGTAAGATTGACTTCACGAGATGAACACAATGCTGCTCTCGGATTTTGAAAATGTTCATTCTGAAGGGAGTTACGGCTGGTAGAACTTGGAACGGTTTGATTTTTCCAGATTTATCAGCTCTTCTATCTCTTTTGTAAGAGTCTTCGGCTGCTGTTTAGCGCACGATAATCTAGTGAAAGAATAATATCGGTTGATGCCCACGGCAGTCTCCTATGTGTGATTTTCGTTGCGTTACCGCCATGCGAGGAGGCGTCCGCGTGCAAATTCAAGATTATTGAAAACAAGGTATTGGACACAACCTGTAGACCAAAAGATTCGCCTTGACGAGCTGAATACAATGCTGCTTTCGGATTTCGAATACACTCACTCGGAAAGAAGTTATGGCCCTGCGTAATTTGCGGATTCACATGAATTTCGCGAAATTTCCGGAAGGAATTTCGCGAAATTCCCGAAATTTCAACCTTCGCGGATCTCCTGAAATTCTGCGTTCACGGAAATTTTGCACATCCTGTGAGCGGTATTGGAGTTTACGAAAATGAAGCCGAAAAGAATCAGTTGCGTAAATGATCAATTTGCCAAGATTTTACCTGTTCATTTGAGAAGAATCTTGCACGGAGATGTAGCCACGGTGATTATTGTTCTTATGGCAACTACCAAGCCGTAAAAGGTACAAGAACTGATTCAAATTTGCATTCATTTCTTTAAATTTCATCCACGCGAAAATAGCGGTCTCACAGGAAAAAGTTCTAAGCATGAGTAGTTAGTTATTCACAAACAAGACGGGTGTCAACCACACCCGTCTTGTTTGTGAATAACTAACTACAATCTTTATTACAGTTCCTCATAAACTTCTTAGATCAGTCACAACCTCAAAATAGCATTTTTGTCTTTCAGAAGTTCGTGTGAAGACCCAACCCACCTGACAACTTACGTGGCAAAAGAGAACGAGAAGCAAAAGACGTGACATTTTTGAAGTGATTAGTTTCGCTGATGGTTGCCTTTATATATGTTTTCTCGATTATTTTGATGTTGAGGTTTATGAGTAACTAGCTGGCTTACCCGGCTCCGCCGTATCCGGACCAAACTTGGCACACATACACTTCGGGCCCCGGCGGGTGTCACAGTCCACTTTTCGTTATCGATCGATGTCGATTTTACCGATTTTTATCGATTTTTTTGCAGAGTTCACCTACAGGGCTAGGAGTTGGCACAGGGGGGGGGGGGGAAGTGAGCATGGGGATTCCGAATACAATATTAGTTTCAGAATTATCGATTACTTTTATTGATTTTATCGATTTTTTGTAAATTTTGACATGCGAGGCTGGGATTTTGCACAGGGGGGTAATCGAGCATGCTGATTACGAACACAATATTAGTTTTCAGGATCGTCCATTACTTTTATCGATTTTATCGATTTTTTTGTAAAGTTTGACCTGCGTGGCTGGGAGTTTGCACAGGGGGTAATCGAGCATGCAGATTACGAATACAATATTAGTTTTCAAGATCGTTTATTACTTTTATCGATTTTATCGATTTTTTGAAAATTTGAGCTAGGGGGCTGGAATTTGGCACAGGGGTGTAATCGAGCATGCTGATCACCCCCCTTGGGGATGATCAGCATGCTCGATTACCCCCCTGTGCCAACTCCCAGCCCCCTAGCTCAAACTTTGCAAAAAATCGATAAAATCGATAAAAGTAATGGACGATCTTGAAAACTAATATTGTATTCGGAATCCCCATGCTCGATTACCCCCCTGTGCCAACTCCCAGCCCCCTAGCTCAAACTTTGCAAAAAAATCGATAAAATCGATAAAAGTAATCGATAATCCTGAAAACCAATATTGTATTCGGAATCCCCATGCTCGATTACCCCCCTGTGCCAACTCCCAGCCCCGTAGCTCAAACTTTGCAAAAAAATCGATAAAATCGATAAAAGTAATCGATAATCCTGAAAACCAGTATTGTATTCGGAATCCCCATGCTCGATTACCCCCCTGTGCCAACTCCCAGCCCCGTGGGTGAACTCTGCAAAAAATCGATAAAAATCGATAAAATCGATATCGATCGATGACGAAAAGTAGCCTATGACACCCGCCGGGGACCGAAGTGTATGTGTGCCAAGTTTGGTCCGGATCGGTTCAGAAATGGAATTTTCTATTCGGAACATACGTACATACATACATACATACATACATACATACATACATACAGACAAACAGACATTCAGCTTTATATATAAGATAAGGAAAGAAGGTGACAAAGCGCTTAAGCATTTCTTATAAACTTTCTGTGTTTTTGGAGCATGAGCATATGTGGAAAGGATCATAGAATTGTTTTTTTTGTACGAAGAGCTAGCACTGGGGTTCGTTGAGCAAAGGCTTGCTCGCTAATTTAGCTCTCATTGTATGTATTTTCGGCCAATTATGTATGATTTGAAAACCCGAGAGAAATTTGTTTTTAGTGTTATTCTGCAGTGTACAGCGATATAAATCACCAGTGCGTCACCTCTGCCTCGCAGAAGCTGGCTCTACTATCTGGGCCCTACTCATGCTCGCATATGATGGCATTGGAACTTACCGAGCAATGCTGATTATCACGAACAAATTGTAAACAACTACTCATTCCTAAAGCTTTTTTATGTTAAATCGGTGACTTCGCGTGGATGAAACTTTACTCAATTTTTTATAGGTTTATGATTTTTCCTTGCTCTTGACATTTCAATAAGAACAGCAGTCATTGTGAGCTACATCTTTGTGCAAAGATCTCGTCAAATGCTCTGGTACAACCTTGGCAAATTGACCATTTACGCAACCAATACTTTTTAGCGCCGTTTTTGTAAAGTAATGGACTTTTGATCACTTTTTCGCGCCTAAGTTCATGGCTTGCACATCTACTTGGCATAAACATCCACGACTCTGCAAAAAGTGGAATTACAGACCCAATTTTGCGGCCCGAATGCAAAGTTTATTCCATTTGAGGCGCAGTTTCTGAGAGATCCACTCAACGAATCTGCTCGTGTTTTTGCATGTTGGACTATCATGCGGGTACCATGCGCTGTGCAAGATTTGAACCCAGGAGGTTGGCTGGAACATGCTCTACGGATTTCGTAACAGACACACTCACAGACATACACACAAAGTCACGTAAACATCCTTAGCCCGTTATTATAAGTAACCGTCACCTCTGCTTCGCAGAGGCTCGCACTGGCCCTACTTTCTATATGCCTAACTCACTCCCGCATAATAATGACAGTGAAATTCACCGAACCATGCAGGCTATCACGAATAATTTGTAAACAACTACTCATTCCTAGAGTTTTTTTTTTGTGTGAGATCGGTATTTTAGCGTGGATGAAACTGACTACATCCCTGTACAAAAATCTTCTCGATAGGTAAAATCTTGGCAAATTGGACATTTATGTAACTTATTCTTTTCGGCGCCATTTTCGTAAACTAATCAACTTTAGTTCAAATTTTTTGGGTTAACGTACATGGCTTGCACATTAGCTTGTCAAACACATCCACGACTTTGCTAAAAGTGGTGATACGGACCTAATTTTGCTTGAAATAAGCCAGGTGGATCCGTTTGGCGCGCAATTTTTGAGGGATCCACTCAACGGATCCCCTCATGCTTTTGCATGGTGGGCTTTCATGCAGGTAGCGTGCGCTAAATTATGCAAAATTTGGGATTAGGACGTTGGCTGGAACACGCTCTACGAATTTCGTAACGGATAGACAGACACACGCACACACACAAAAAAACGTAAATACCCTTAGCCCGTTATTATAAGTTATGATGATCATTCGTGATAGCTGCATAGCGCGGTGAGTTTTAATGTCGTTGTTATGCCGGAACGAGTGAGGCATACAGAAAATAAGGCCAGTGCGAGCCTCTGCGAAGCAGAGGGTACGCACCGGTTTAAAAATAACGTATGATGCGATTTCTGAGACACGATAAGTTTTGAGTACGGTTCGAGTCCCGTACATCCGCATCGCCTGGGCTTGGCGTCCTTTTAGAGAGCGTGCTTTCTCATCAAGGCGAGCCGATGTATTTCCAACCTATTCCGGAAAGACACTATACTCATCCTCGCAATTGCGCTTTTTTATATGACCAGTGTGTCACCTCTGCTTCGCAGAGGCTCGCACTGGCCCTACTATCTGTACGAGTAACTCATTTCCGCACAATACTGACACTGAAACACACCGCGCAATGCGGGCTATCACGAATGATTTGTAATCACTTACTCATTTCAAAAGCTTTTCCATATGAGATCGGTAATTTTGCGTGAATGAAGTTATAAGATGCAATAATCACCGTGGGCTACATCTCCGTGCAAGAATCTCCTCAAATGATCGGATAAAATCTTGGCGAATTGAACATTTACGCAACCCATTCTTTTTAGCCCGTTCTGGCAAATTAATGAACTTCAGCTCAATTTTTTAGGCCAGAATCCATGGCTTGCACATTAACTTGTCAGACATAGCCGTGACTTTGCAAATAGTCGTGCTACAGGCTCAATTTTACTGGCCAGAAGCCAAGTGAATTCGATTGACGCACATTTTTTGAGGGATCCACAAAGCGGATCCGCTCATGCTTTTGTATAGTGGACTCTCATGTTGGTAGCATGCGCTGTGCAAAATTTTGGCTCAGGAGGTTGGCTAGGACACGTCCTTCGAATTTCGTGATAGACAGACAGACTTACACACACAAAAACACGTAAACATCCTTAGCCCGTTATTATAAGTACCAGTGCGTCACCTCTACTTCGCAGAGGCTCGCACTGGCTCTTCTATCTATATGTCATACTCCTTCCCGCATAACATGGCATTGAAACATACCACGCAATGCCCGCCTACACGAATGATTCGTAAACAACTACTCATTTCTTAAGCTTTTTCGTGTGAGATCGGTATTTTGCGTAGATGAAACTTTGGTGAAGAACAAATGCAAATTTGAACAGGTTTTGAAACTTTTTTGGCTTGGTAGTCGCCGTAAGGACAATAGTTATCGTGAGCTACATCTCTGTGCAAAAATATTCTCAAATGCTCAGGTAAAACCACGGCGGATTGATCATTTACGCGACGATTTCTTTTTGGCGTCGCTTTCGTAAAGTAGGAAATCTTTGGTTACTTTTTGGTCTAAAGTCCATGACTTACACATCAACCTGCTAAACACATCTACGGCTTTGCAAAAAGCGTTGATACGGACCCAATTTTGCGGGCCAGAAGCCAAGTGGATCCGTTTGGCGCGCAAATTCCGAGGGACCCACTCAACGAATCCGTTCGTGCTTTTGCATGCTGGAGTTATACCTTGGTAGCATGCGCTATGTAAAGTTTGGGCTCGGGATGGTGGCTGGATTCCGCTGTATGACTTTCGTTACAGACAGACAGACAGACACACACACAAAGTCACGTAAACACCCTTAGCCCGTTATTATATTATAAGTATGATCTTTTGTGTTCTTGTCTGTCCATAATGACCTCACCAGCATAGATTTGAAGCTTCCGTTGCACAAATCCGAGTTGCAATAACATATGGCTCTATGGTTGCGATTATCGCATTTCAAAAGCTGCTAAAATATATGATTCTATTTTTAAATGAACACTAAGCTTGAGACCTCCGTTGATATGAAGGAAGCTGTGCGGAAATTTCTTTTTTCAACGCCATAAACTTCAAATTTGCACGGCTTCTTTGTTTCATATGCACATACAAAACCCTAAACAAACTTGCTCTACAAGAGAGTGTGAAAAAATCTCTACCTCTTCCTTTGTGAGATTATCCCCTTCACTTCCCACGTAGCACTGCAGAGATGTCACGAGTAGTGGGATCACTACTGCTATTGCTGCAGGCACTGAAGATTTGCAGAGAGGCATAGCACATGCAAACCAAAAACATTTACATTGCATAAGAGGACCAGATGCAAACAAGTTTGTGAACAAATGAATCAATCCTTGTCTGACATTTTGATTTTATTCGCATTGATACAATATCAAGCATTTGCCTGATAAGTATCACATTCCAAATCTGGGGCGGTATGTATCGATCCCCCGTGGGTTCGGGTTTTCATTTAGGTAGTATCCGCTTCATAATCGGTGCACTAGAGATCTCTGTTCTTCCTTGTTTGTCCATTTTTTGGAGGTCCTACTACCCTAATAACGTAGCATAATACCACTTTGCCGTATAAGCTGAGGTTTTCGGTATTTTGTATAATTTTGAACGGAATCCTCACGGAATCACAGTTTTTCATACTCAATTATCTTTGAAAAAACTTAATAACGTCGTAAATGTGCTTAAGACTTATTATGACAGTGCCGAACATGTTTCCGGTAATACAGTTGAAGTGTGGAAGTTTTGAGTTTTTCGATAAACCCCACTTTGCGAGCAGAAGCTAATCAAAGATTTCGTTAACTTGTGTTCTCGCTTATCACTTTCACAAAGTTGCTCAGCACTGCCATAATTGATCAACAGCATAACATTATAAAGTTTTCATTGAGTTTTTTCAAAGACAAGTAACTTTGAAAATGAGCCGTGTTTCCGTGAGGGCAAAGTGCTGCTATTCGTTATACTACATTATTAGAGTAGTAAGGCCTCCGAAAGATGGAGAAACAAGGAAGAACACAGATCCCCATAACACCGAGCTATAAAGACAATACTACCTGAATATAAACTCTCACCCGAATGGGCAACTGACACATACCACCCTTGGTGCTCACCGGAACAGTTTAAAAGAAAAAAGGCTCTCGAAGCCAGGCGTGCTATTCTTTCCCACCATATTTTCTTTTAATCCAATCGTCAAATTTAGCGCAGCTACTGCTACTGCCTAGGCTGCAATCAAGACGGTCTCCTGAGGTCAGACAACAACCGGACGTGTTACCTTTACCGGTAGCTTTACCGGACACCATGCTTTCTCCTTCCGTCTTTGAAAGTTCCGCTGCTCGCCCGCTTAGGGTTGAGCCAGACCTCGCGGCGTACGCGGCGTACGCAGCGTACGCCGCGTTCGCTCCTATGATGAAATATACCGAGCGTACGCTGCGTACGTCACGTACGCCCGTACGCGGCGCACTCTGGCTCAATTCTTACACTTGGAGCGGGCGAGCGGAGTATCTTGGCGGGCGCCTAATCACGCCTTTCCTTGCATGGTCTTAATACTACTCCGCCCGTCCGCTCGAAACGAAGATCTAAACAGGTGAGTGTCTTTACCGAGCAAACAACCATGCCTCTGCTTTTCCACCAAAGATACTCTACAGGCCCGATGTTGAAAACCGTATGATTTGACTTACTGTCATTAATATACCGATAACCTGCCCTAGCTTCTAATAACCTGATATTTTGTTTATTTTTTACGAACGCTCAATCACGGATCCAATAATTTGATTACGAGAATTGAGACTTGACAAGCAAAACAGCTGAGACTCAAAATATCAGGCTGACGCGAATTTTTTGCTTAATTCAAACGAAAAACTTTTCAATTTTGAAATATATTGAGTTGTTCCAAATATAAATTCGCTTTTTCGAACGGGCGCCACATTTGATGGAACCAAGATTTTTGAGAGGTCTTGGAGGCATTCGATGCGGAATTTCATTTCTTTCTAACTGGTTATGAAAATGTGCAAAAAATCAATAGGCTTCAGAAAATAACCATAGCCTGCGACCCATGCTTTTTGAGAAAATCAAGTTTCACGATTTTTTAGAACTTTTATATCAATCCTCCGAAAAAGTGAAAGTAACGCCTTAATAGAGCAAACCCTACAGAATGCGAAACTACCTTTATCTCCTTTCCATAGCTTGTCATACATTTTTAATTTTAACTGAAGCTACCGACCGTACTTGGGCAGCTAAACCCTCGTAGAACATCAAAAAAAGAGCAGCTCGCGCACTATTCGATGCAGCATTTTCTTCTCTTTCTATTACGTGGTTTTGTTTCCGATTGGTTTAGTTTTCGGGGAGAAATCAGAATGACTCATTTTTTAGCGAGTCGCAGGCTGTACCCGAAAAACTGGAATTTGATATGTCGAACCCGTAAACCCTTACTTGCCTTGTAAAATTAATGCTAACTCATAATACTATCTTGGTAGTCTCAAATTCCGAATAATAATGATGCTTGATGCGATTGTGGCTGATGTGGGCCTGCCAAAATCGATTGTTTTCTTTGAAAATCTTTCAAAAAATTACGGCGTGCTACACGAAAGAGAAAAAAGAGGTACTGAATTTTAAAGGTTTATGCTGTCGAATCGTTACTCGAACTCCTTTTGAGGATTGATATGAAAGTTTCAAAAAAATTGTGAGACTTGACCATCTCAGAAAGGGTCGCAGATTTTGGTTATTTTCCGAAAGCTCATTGACTGTCTTACTAGAAAGAGAATGAAGTTTTGTATCGAATGCTTCCAAGATCTCTCAGAAACCTTTGTTAAATTAAATGTGGCGCCCATTTGAAAAAAGCGAAATCACTTTTAAAACGACCTAATAAATTACAATTGCGTCCAGGGTCAAGCAAGGGATGTGGCACACAATCGCTGGTTACGACCTCCCCCCCTGATTGCTGTCTTAATAAGACTCCCCCCCCTAAACTATATACCTAAGATAGCATTACCAGAGTTGAGAAAGAGGTCAGGCACAAGTCTTTCGAAACCCCTCCCCCTCCCATGAAAACCCTCAAATGACCCCTTCTTCCTCCTCTTAACCTCTGGACCTTAAAGTGTGACATTCTGGAGGACACTATCTTTTTTTAGAGAGTTTTCAGATTTTTGAAAGCTGTACGCCCGATTTTCTGTGACTGCACTTTACAATCACACGTAATTTGACGGCTGATTTTGATCTGAATGGGCATATTGAAACCATAATTTTCTTATGAATGGGGCGTTCTGCTCCAAATTTCCAATGTAACAAGAAGAAGCTATGTGCTCAATACTCATACCAGCAATGGAGCGCTTTCTGGATTTTGAAGGCAAATTAAGGGGGTGCGGCACACCCCCTTAAAAGCAGCGGCAGCCGCAGCTTTCAAGGGGTGTGCCGCACCCCATTAACTATATCAAAAAAACATTTTTAGCGGACAGTATTTAAATGAATCGATAGCCTAAACTTTGTAGATTCCATGGGAATGTTTGGAGCCTGATTTGTCTTCTTAGCTCTAAGTAATATTTGGTGAAAGCACAGCGATCAAAAGCGAAAAATGGGAAAAACGAGATTTTGGTTGGCTTCTAATTCCACAGTTTGCAGGTCTTCTGAAGCGGGATTCCTGAAGTGGACAAAGAAGGAGTGGTGCTTTGTTTCGAGTGCAAAAATGTATAGCTAATTCACCTCTGAAACAAAGTTAACCATGTTGGAAATTGACCATTTTATTTAGGTAGCCTAGTATCTTAAACCAGTGCGTCACCTCTGCTTCGCAGAGGTTCGCACTGGCTCTACTATCTATGTGCCTTACTCATTCTCGTAAAATCGTGGCACTGGAACTCACCGCGCTATGTCGACTACCACGAATAAAATGTAAACAACCACTCATTTAGAGAGTCTTTTCACGTGAGATCGGTGATTTCGAGTGGATGAAACTTTTCGCAGGAAGACAAACGCAAATTTGAATAGGTTTTTGGATTTGTCGTGGCTTGGTAGTCGCCATAAAGGTAATGATAACCGTGAGCTACATCTCTGTGCGAAAATCTTCTCAAACGCTTGGCTAGAACCTTGGCAAGTTGACCATTCACACAGCCAATTCATTTTGGCGCCGTTTTCGTTATGTAGTAAACTTTCGACCACTTTTCTGGCTAAACTCCATCGCTTGCACATTTGCTAACCAAATTCATCCACGACTCTGCAAAAAGTGGTGATACGGACCGAATTTTGCGGTACAGAAGCCAGGTGGACCCGTTTGGCGCGCAATTTTTAACGGATCCACTCGACGGATTTGCTCGCGCTTTTGTATATTGGACTTTCATGCTGCTAGCATGCGCCGTGCAAAATTTGGGCTCAGGAGGTTGGCTGGAACATGTTCTACGAATTTCGTAACGGACAGACACACACACAAAAAGACGTAAACAACCCTTAGCCCGTTATTATAAGTCATGATAATATTCAGAATTCGCTCACACTTTGTCTACAGGGGTTAATTGACATGCTAATCATAGATATGATACGAATATCATGTTATCACTATTATCAGATTACAGAACTACGACCCCCTCCCCTCTTGACTCCTCAATACGACCCCCCAGGTGTGGCGTGCCGCACCCCACGCTTGACCCTAATTGCGTCCTTAATCTTGAGAAAAAAAACGGATGGCGACGAATTTCTACGTCTTGACATATTTATGCAAAACCGTAGGAATGCTATAACTTTTTGAGACTATTCCTAAATTCATCACTGGATTGCTGGAAATCTAGCGATTTACGAAAATTGTTAAAATTTCAAAAATGCCTTTCTTTGAGCTGTCGCGCCAAAACCATCGCACTGAGTCAAGTTGCTTGAAAACGAGTTTTATGGAGTTACAAGTAAATTTTTGGATTTCTGGCAGGATTTTGATTTGAAAGATACTTCAGAAAATCAAAAAAGCTTTTGTACAAAGCATTTAGCAGCTTTTGTACAAAGCATTTAGCAATTACATAAAGTGTTTTTGTCAACTCTAAGTGAAAATTTACATTATCTTGAACAAATCGCAAATTTTATTCTAGAAAACGACAGCAATGAGCACTGCGGTGTTTCTTTGATAATTTTGAATTATTAACTGTGATGCAGGCTGAAGTCCCTCAGAAACTGGTTAGCCTGCAGAGCCTGCAGTGGTGCAGACACGAACTGCGGATTCACGGTAACTCAAACGAAATGCCGTAATTTCATAAATACTAAACCTATGTAAATTTATAGTTCTATACTAGAAGATTAGTAGAAGGTTTGCGCTCTATAACGGATGTTCAAGCAAATTCTATTTGT